CATACGCATACGCATCCGAAGAAGTGGGTTGTAGTCCACGAAAGCTTACGCTCTAATAAAATTGTTAGTCTCTAAGGTGCCACAAATACTCCTGTTCTTTTTACACCAAAGTTAATGTTTCAGTCTAATGCCAGAAGCTGCATGTACAATACAGAACATTTTGGTGAAGCGAAATGCTGGGCTAATCAGTGACGGTAACAAAAAGTTGGATTGCTAGGTTTTTCAGAGATCTTGACATCTAAACGTGGAATTTACAAAACAGTAGATTCAAGAAACACTTAAATCAGAAGGTTAAAGTATCTTGAATGTGATGGAGAAAGAGTGACTTTTTGGGATTTCTGCATTGAAACTGTGACTCCTCTTCTGTTTATTTTTAAAAATTATTTGATGATGTATAGATGCTATATTAGTGAAAAGACACCATGCCCTGTGCCCCCATAATCCCAGTGTGCTAACAAGTGTGTGTGGGGGGGGTTCTCTTTATTTATAGAGCTGGTCAAAAAATCCAATTTTATTTCTGTGAAAAACTTAGAACAAAACAATTTTTCATTAATAATGTTTACTTTTTTATGAGAAGTTTGTTTTTCAACAAAAACTAAAACAAAATGATGGTAATGTTCCATTTCCATTTGAAATTTTTATTTCAAATTTTTGAAAAGCAAAACAAAAAGTTTAGAATTTTCAATGAAAAGTCCAAAACTTGGTTGAAATTGAAGGTAAAAAAAAAATTCGGTCTAAATATTTTGACCAGCTGATTTGTATTGTAGAAGAGGCTTCTATAGCCTGGTCTTCACTGATAAGAAAGGTGTGTGTTTTACCTCAGGGTAACTAACATACATATGCTATCCCTGAGGTAATAACACAGTGATGATAAGGTGCTTTAGTTTCGCCATGTGGTCAGCTAGTCAACCCCAACTTCAGGCAAGGGTATAGGGTTGACCTTGGCAAGCTTACCTTGTGGTAAAACTAAAATGTCTTCACTGTGTTTTAACCATGGGGATAGCTCAGGCACATTAGTTACCCTGAGGTGAAATATGCACTTTTTTTAGCAGAGAAGACAAAGCCTATCAGGATACAGGCTCCATTCTGCTGGGGACTGTACAAAAGCACATCAACTCCAGGAGCCATGTTTTGTGTGTGTTTTTTCTGGGTCAGTACAGGGTAGAAAGGGTCTACTTCTCAATCCCCTTTTGTGTTGCTTATTTGGATTTGTTTAAATATTGTATTCACCTGGGGCTTCAGTATGTGAGTGTAGTCAGGGCAGGTGAATCCCAGTCACTTACTTAGCGAGGCCTGGTGTTTCCATCATCTCTGTGCTAGAGATAGGTGCAGTCTGTTTGCTTCAGTGGTAAATGTAACTTTCGTAACTTTTTTTCTCCCAAGGGGAAAAAGCAATTACAGCAATTGGCCATTTAAATTTGTATTGAAGGGTGGGTTTTTGTATATCCTTTTCTTTTACAATATTTTTGGCTAGTTTAGGCAAGCTGCCTTATGCATATAGGAATGGGATGTAGGTTTGTAATTGTCCCTTATATCTTTCTTTGACTGGCAGTGAAGATGGGAAAGAAGAGGGCTGTAAGATCTGCTCCTCTCTCGTGAGAGAGTGGAGGGCTTAGGGCTCTATCCATCTGTCTTAACTCTGATCTTGTCTGTAGTGTATGAACATCTCCATAGTACATCTCTACCCCGATATAACGCTGTTCTCGGGAGCCAAAAAAATCTTACTGCGTTATAGGTGAAACGGCGTTCTATTGAACTTGCTTTGATCCGCCAGAGCGCGCAGCCCCCTCCTCCCCCTGGGAGCACTGCTTTACTGCATTATATCCGAATTCGTGTTATATCGGGGTAGAGGTGTATCTGAGTGATCTAAGATACTAATAAATTCAGGCTTCTTATTTCTCATGTTAGGAATTATAAGGAAAGGAATAGATAAGACAGTAAATATCACAATGCCACTATATAAAACCATGGTACGCCCACACCTTGAATATTATCTGCTGTTCTGGTCCCCATCTCAAAAAAGATACATTAGAATTGGAAAAAAGTACAGAGAAGGGCAACAAAAATGATTAAGGATATGGAACAGCTTCCATATTAGGAGAAATTAAAAAGACTGGGAAATTACTGTTCATCTTGGAAAAGAGATGAGTAAAAGGAGGGGGATATGATAGAGGTCTATAAAATCAGAGTGTGGAAAAAGTGAATAAGGAAGTCAAGTATCAGAGGGGTAGCCGTGTTAGTCTGAATCTGTAAAAAGCAACAGAGGGTCCTGTGGCACCTTTGACCTTTCTGTTAGTCTCAAAGGTGCCACAGGACCCTCTGTTGCTGAATAAGGAAGTGTTATTTACCCCTTCACATAAAACAAGAACCTGGGGTCACCCAATGAAATTAAAAGACTGCACTTGCCAGAGCCCATGTCAGAGTTGGGATGAACTCTAGTAAACTTATTAACATGCCGTGTAAGTACTTTAGTTGTTGTTATGTTTTCTCTGTAATGCTTTGTTCCTTATAAAGTATGCTTGCTTACAAAGAGTTGTGTGGTAACTTGCATTTGTAGCAAATACTCTGCTACCCATCTCTGAAGAGAAAAGAAGCAGGTGTCCTAGGACAACCTGACTGGGAATGACACAGTAAAGGAAAGGCAACTGTTCAGCCTGGGAATATCTTGGTCAGAAGGGAGAGAGACCCAAAAGAGGCAACAGCTGGGGAGCTGGCAGCCAAGAGTTGTTGCCCTTGCTGAACTATTGAGGGGAATACAGCTGCAGTTGCCCTGTACTGTGAAAGCTCTTAATTGAGGATTCCAAGCAAGTGCACTGGCAAAGGATTCTTTTTGAATTCAGAGAGAAACTTAAAGGTAGTTCTTGCCTATATTTGTTTCCTGAGCAAAAGAAAACTGGGGAGTAATTTATATGCAGTTTCTCCCGTTTTTGTTAGTTTCAGTGACTAGGTGTTTCTGCTTTTTTAATTTTTCCCAAATCATCTTAAGATTTCTTTTTTCCTCTGCCAAAGGCCACTCTCCTTCCCCCCCTTTAAA